CTCGTACCTACGTGACTTGGACCCGGCTCCAACCTTTTATTGCATCGTGCACACGTACCTCGTTCGTACCGTGCACTTGCTCAAAAAGAGAGGGGAGAGATTCGATTCGAGGGAGAGGAGTTTTTCTTTTTTTCTTCTTCTTCCAGAACTTTCGAGTCCAGATATTGGAATTTTCTTTTTTTTTTTTTTTCTTTGTTTTACTTCCCCCTCCTCTCGAATCTCATCGAGGAGAATGCTCGAAAAGAATTTCGAGGCGGATCTTTCGAGGCAGGAAGCGGGGTTTAGCCTCGTATCTAACGTTTGTCTCCGTCCACGCGGAGTCGTATTCACGACGCGTTTCGCTCGGCCAGCTAATTAGTATGTGCCGTGGTGGCACGTATTAGGCGGTAGTCACGCTTGAATACGAAACGCGCGCGAGGGGACGTCGCTATCCCATCCTCGAAAAAATCGCTGGAATTTCAAGAATCTCCTCCTCCTCCTCCTCCTCCTCCTTCTCTTCCCCTTCGCGGGACGAAAAGAGGAAAAAAGAAAAATCTACGAGAGTTTAAAATTAATCGATAATCAATGGTCGTGTTTGCGAAGTGTGTCGTAAGACGCCTGCAGGTGTATCTCTCCTCGGGATAAATAAATAAGAGGGGAGTAGTGCTCGAGCGGAATGGCAATTGAACTCGCTCAACAATTATATTAATTAGTTCACGGCTTGAAGCGGCTTCGACGTCCCTCTTTCCTACCCTCGAATTAGATTCGTAACTCCAAACGTAGCTCCTTCGCCCTCTCTCTTTCACTTCAATTTTTTCTCCCTCGCGATTCGTTGGAATCGACCGATCGAAAGAAAGGCGACGCGTAATTTGAAGAAAGAAAGAAAAAGAAAGCGATGTCTCGATGAATCTCCTCTCGCGGTAATTGCGAGATTATGAGAGAGAGAGGTGGAACGAAATATTGCGGATCGGGCGTGGTGCACGTCCCACACGAGGCACAGGACACGACGACGCGGTGCACGGAGTCCTGTCTCTTTTGCCTTTCTATCCTCCGCTCGCGGCGTTCCAGCCGCGTGCTGCTCTCTAATCTCTCGATTGTTTCCACTCGGAGTCGTTAAAATATCAACCGCCTTTTTCTTCGCGCAAATTGTTCGCCCGCGAAACGATCCCTTTTTAAAGCAAAAAACCGGTGATCGTTGGTTACAATTATTCACGGCCCAAAGGGAAACTAAAACCCTAAACTTTTCTAGGGTTAACGTTTCAATCTAACGAATCGTCTCACGATTTCTCGGAGAGTAGTCGTATTCGCATGTTTCTTCTCCCCTTTCCTTTCTTCTCTTCTTTTTTCTGATCGAGCATTGGCGAGAGGCCTTGAACGGAAGCATCTCAGTCGGGAACAAACTTGTTGTGCCGCAATTGCAATTACGAAACCTTTTTTCCACGAAAGAAGGAGAGAAAAAAAGGCGCGTTTGCCCGGTGAAAATGTCGGCTGGCCTCGCGTTCCCTCAGAAATCGCTCTTTGAAGAGAACGATCTTTTTTTTCTCTTTTTTCTTTTGCCGATCGTTGCGTCGACGCGAAAATTGTTAAATTCTTCGCGTCAGCTTTTTTAAAAAAACAATCGAGTCGAGACGATTTCCCTCCCCTTTCGCCCCCCTTTTTTGCCGAGAATAAATTTTCGTGGTGGAGGAAAAGTTAAATAGGGAAAGGATGGACCGCGAAGGAAGAATCGGTTTATTTTCGTGGAAAAAGTTGTCTCGATTGGAGAGAAGCGGGACCCTCTCCCGAGAACGCGATAAAAGCGATCGTTGGGTATTCCGCGCGTGCGGCGACAAGAGAGGAAAAGTTTTTCCTCGACGCGTGTATACATACATATATATATATATATATACATATATACGAGCGGAACTGCATGCCTCTTGTAATTCTGCGCGGCCCGTCGTCTTTTATGCAGACTTAAATCACATTCTCGAGGAATGAGTCGACCTTTTCGAAGAGAGGAGAAACGCTCGCGTTTGCTCGATTCTCCGATCGGACGACGAGAAGGAGGAG